CCCAATCTCTCCCCATCCTCACCAGCATTTGTTATTTTCTGTCTTGTTGAACTTTGCTACTAGTGCTGGGGCAAGATGGTATCTCACTGTTGTTTTGATTTGCAACTCTCTGAAGGCTAATGATCATGAGCATTTCTTCGTATGTTTGTTGGCCACTGAATATCCTCTTTGGTGAAGTGTCTATCATGTCTTCTGCCCATTTTTTAATCGGATTATCTGTCTTTTTGTTATTGAGGTGTTGGAGTTTTCTATAAATTCTAGAGATAAGTCCCTTGTCAGATATGTCATTGCCAAATATTTTTTCCCAATCTGTAGGGTCTCTTTTGACTCTTTTGGAGAAGTCTTTGGAAGCACATAAAAATTTAATTTTTAGAAGGTCCCATTCTACCTGTCTGAATTCTTAAAAAAATGTACATTGTATACGTATCAGATTTCTGTGAGGGACAAACAATAAAATGGCATAATTCTCAAGACTCTTTAATGTTAGGGTTACCTACCACATTTGTGCAATAACTGGAAACAGAATCATGAAAGGGACTGACCTTGCTGCCCAGGGCAGGGGCAGTCCCTTCTCCTGCTACGGGTTGGGCTGCTCAGCTCTGCGATGCTGCCAAAGCAGCCAGAGACAGCACGTAAGCAAACAGGCGTGGCCGTGTGCCAACAAAACTGGAATGACAGGCTGGCCCCTACCTAATGCATCATAAGCCCCAACTGAGGCCTGCTTCACTCACAGACCCTTCCACGAGGAGTGGGTCTGAGAGTAACAGCCTGCACGTGCAGGGAACTCTTCAAACTTACCTATCTTGGGATGAGACGTGGGCAAGGCAGCTTCTGGGAACGGCGCCATCTGACAGCTGTCCTGATAGCCAGGGTAGTGGGGCTCTGGGTGGCTGACCCTGCATGGGGGCTGCACGCCTGCTTCTTGCACTGTTGGATGAGAAGGGACAGACAGCCTCGTGACCACCTCCTGTGGTCTGAGGTTGTGCCGGCCCGTGTAACACAATGAGTCTGAGGTGTTGAAAGGACAGTGTGTAGGACCTTCAGGTGAGAAAAACACATCACAGAGCAAGTTCCCCTATTTCTTCTTGCTGTGTGAGATACAGCGCCTACGACACTTACAGTGGCCCTGTGGCTCACATGTACTTCTACTGCACAGCACTAGTCTGCGGCCATGGCCACCTAACTCCCTATAGGGCTAGAGAGCAGGTATTTCTTCTTAAAAGAGACCAGGCTTTCTGATCTGATGGAGACTGACAAAACCCCAAGACTATGGCCCTTAGTTACGCTTTAGGCCTAGAATTGAACTCACTCCTGTGGCTTCCAGTCCAACAATAGATAGGCCTACTAGGTGAACTGGTGGCGCAGTGCCTAAGGCATTTGACCGCTAACCAGAAGGCTGGCAGTTCAAACCTATCAGCCACTCCTCGGAAGGAAGACTGGGTGAGCTACTTCTGTAGAGATACCACCTTGGAAAGTCAAGAAGGGGTCACTATGAGTCAGAACCAACTCCACGGCAGTGAGGTGTTTTGTTTTTAACCAGGTGAACAATTACACCAGGTAGGTGTACTTCTTAGAACAATCAACGGTGGAAGATCAGAAGGGCAGTATTTGCACAGGGAGACAGTCTGGGGGGCAGGGGTACATGGGAGGGAAGGACACAGGGAAGAAGTAACCACAGGGAGGAAGTGGGAAGAGAGCTGTTACATTATGGGGATTGCAGTCAACGTCACGAAAGAAAATGTGTATGTTCAAGTGTTGAACAGAAAATGAATTTGCTCTGTAAACTTTCATCCAAATCATGTTAAAAAAAGAGTCTCCGTCCTGGCTGTTCAGCTCGGCCACTGGAGCCAGAGGGCAGTAGGGACAGCACATTGGTGAACGGTTCCCTAGGTGGCGGCCACAGTGCAGCCTCAGCACAGCTTCGTGCTGCCCTGTGGCCCGTTACAGACGAGGGAGTCAGGCACAGGCTTCTGAGTGACTGGTCCACAGCCACACAGCCAGTGGTGGTGAAGGCACCACCTTCAACCCACAGCACCGTCTAACGGCAGCATGTGGAGAGAGGAGGGCGTGGTGCTGTCCAGAGTCAGGGACAGGAAGACTGAAGTGGGGTCTGGCCGGAAGGGAAGGGAGGGGACGGTCTCTATGCAGACAAGGGTTTAGGAGGTAAACTCAAGACAGGTAGGGCTAGGGGGACCCTGGCTCTAGCTGTGCCCCTCCCAGGATGGTGACACCATTGCCAAGAGGACAATGGTGGGGTGAGGGTGAGCACTGACACCCTGTCACCTGCTGAGGTGACTCAGGAGGGACTGATACGCAGAACAAGGTGAGAGGGAGAACTTGGTGGGTGTGCAGCCCGTGGAGGGCTGCAGGGCCAGGAGCCTCAGTCCACTTGGGAGTCCACAGTGCGTGGCCCATGCGCCCTCTCACCCCCAGAGGCTGGCTGTGCTGCCTGAGATGCGGGCCCTGGGCCCAGCCCCTCGGCTCTCTGAGCCCACCCTCATAGACTCGGCCCCAGCCCCTCGGCTCTCTGAGCCCACGCTTGTAGACTCATGGCACCATCTGAGCCGACCTTCATAGACTCGCAACACCATGACCCAGTGCCTAGGCCTCTTTTCCAGGTGAACAGCACCCCTCACCCTCATTACATCTCCAGACCTCACTACAACTCACTCAACCCACCCAAGGCCTCTTCTTCCCATGCCCAGCCCCACTGATACCCACTTCAGCAACCTGTAGACATGCCCCTAACACACGGGTGACCTGCCCCACAGCCAACTCCCTCACTACCACACACAACCCTGGTGTGGGGCTTCTCAGGCGCACACAAGGACCACTTGCCTGTGGCTCCAGCGAAGACGTCGCCCTGGGCTGGACTCTCTGATATGACAGCCGTGGCCTCCACAGTGGATGCCCGGTCGAAGGTCAGCGCACCAGAGGTAGTGATCTGGCCTGAGGGGGTCACGGTGACTGGAAAGCAGAACTCAACTCACGGAGGAGCCAGGGCCTGAGGGGACTCATGACACAGGAGTCCATCTGACCACCCGCTGACCCTCACATGGCTGCAGAAAAGGTGGACCAGGGAACACAGGGCACTGCCACCTGTTCCCCACATAAGGACAAATACCTCCTCAGGAGAGACCCATGAGGCTGGCAGCCACACTGCCTACGAGGAAGGAGCCAGACGACAGGGTGGGGGGAAGGTGGTTTCCACCTTGTGCCCACTGATCTTTTCCCCCATATTTTGAATTTTGAACAACGCCAAGTCAGAAAAGAAAAAATAAAATTTTAAGTACTTGAAGGTAAATTTTGCAGTTTAAATGACAGGGAATGTCCTAATCTTGGTGGCTGTCTCAGCCCAAGCCCTGGTGGTGCCACACTGGAGGCCTGTCTGCACAGTCCCCTCCTGGCTGGCAGCGAGAGGATGCACCCACTGCTAGCATCACCACGCTGGGGCCCTGCCTGCACCCACTACATAGTAGGAGTGAGAGGGCCAGCGGCACTTACGAGAGAAATCTCTCTAAGTGCAAAAAACCAGACTCACAGCATCTACCGAAGACTCCTTCCTAAACCGTTCCCCACACCGTCTCCACCCGTCCCATCTTCACTCATCTGTGACTAAGAACTAAAAGCAGATTCCCTCCAGCTGGCCCCCTTTCTAGACGGCTGTGAGGTGTACAGACCACAGTACAGCTGGAAAGCATGCTACAGCAGGGGTCCTGACAGCAGGGGCCTGGGCCTGGTGACCTTCTCAGGAGCGGCCTGGGGCTAGTGGGAGCCGGGTCTCCTGGGAGCAGCAGCTTCCGGCAGCCCACGTCTGGTTCACTAGCACAGTTTACAGCAGACACTCACAGGCCATGCCCCAGGGATAGCCAAGGACACATCAGATGCCTCCCCGTGCTCAGGGGAGCTGGCAGCGCAGAGGTCAGGGAGGCCTGCAGCCAGCAGGTGCCAAAACGCGAGACACACACAGAGGTGGTCGTTAGAGGAAGGGAGATGGAGGATGCGTCCTCTCAGCTGAGATACCCACAGGCCAACGTGCCGAGGGGCCGGGCTGAGGGCACCCGACCAAGGTGTGTGGGTGTGCCCTGGGCGAAGACAGGATGCCTTTCACTGGGACTCACAGGTAGTGGCAGCCGTAGCTGGGAGCAGTGTGATGTTTTTAGGAGAATCCTTCTTGACCGGGGTCGTGGGCATCTCATTTTCCTTCTTGCGCCGTTTGTATGGTACAAATAGCCTGACAGGCCCACTCTGGGGAGGAAAGTCTAATCAGAGCAGGAAACGTCGTGGCGACGTGACACATCCCACCCCCTCCTGCTCCCTGGGGCACCCTCCTCCTGGTCCTAACACAGCATTGCCATGTCACGTGGCCAGCTGCACCCAGGCCTGCCTCCCTCAGGCCCCAAACTCCTCAGGTGACAGAAAAGACAATCAAAAGAACACATGGCTGACAGCACTGCCAACAGGAAGGGGTGCCATCAACTAAGCGAGTTCCCAGGCATTCCTAGAAGACAAAGTGAACGTGGACCATGGAAGTGAAGGAGAAAGGACGCCACCACATGAGAATGTCCTGGCAGCAATGGGGTGCGTCTGTGCTCATTCACAGAGGACCAACCAAGGGAGAGACATCTAACTGGACCAGGGCCCACTGAACCTCGTTCCAGGAAACCAGGGCCCACGGACGAGACTCTGAAGGATGTAAGGTCTGTCCACCAACCCTCCCAGAGCTACCCACCCTGTCACATGAGACTCCTGTGCCCCCACACCACACGGGATGTCAGACGCATGGGGTGAACACACACACCCATGGAAACACAGAAGCAAACGTTCCTGCCGAGGGTTCATGTGGTATCTGGAGCACCTGGAGCAATGCTGCTGATGGCCAACGGGCAGGACTCGGGGGAATGTGCCATATTGGGTAAAAGGAGCCTGGAGAGAAGTTGAGGCAGAGATCTTGGAATGTCTGCATGTGCACACAGTTCAGGGTCACAGGGGACCCTGCCTAGCAGGACCAATGATGGCACATGTCTCTCCCAATGTCCTGGGCCGGGCACTCCCAGATAGAAGACAACAACTGAAAGAAGCCACGATTCAAAGAGAAAGGGCCAGCTCAGGGCTCCCCACCCAGCAGCTGTGACTAGGGGATGAATTGAAAAGCGTCCCACATCTCACATCCATCTCAGCGAGGAAAGCCCCAGAGGGGAGGATACGGTCCACCCAGGGCATGGGCATGCACCCACTGTCAGAAGACATGCTGGATTCCATTGCTGCGGCTATGATGTCACTCTGTCTCACTGAGGGCTCCCCTCGTTTCTCACCGACACTCTACTTTATCAAACACGATGCCCCTTCTGGGCAATTGGTCTTTCCCAATGAGGCGTCCAAAGTAAGCAAGCCAAAGTCCTGCCATCCTCGCTTCTCAGGGGCATTCTGGCGGTGTCTTCCCAGACCAATCTGTCTGTTCTGGCATCCACGATGCACTCAACATTCGGACACAACCACTCCCCTTCGGTCTCCTTCTTTCACTGGCCAGCTTCCGCATGCATAGGAAACAACCAACTGAAAAGCCATGGCTTGGGTCAGACGCACCTTAGTTGTTATAGTGACATCTTTGCATGTTAAAATTCTAAAAAGGAAGGTGTGCCCAATGCTACATGTTGTTTGAGTTCTTCACTGCTGCTTCCGTGGACACTGATGATTGATCCAAGTAGAATGAAACCCTGTTAGACTGTTGTTGTTGTTGTTAGGTGCCGTCAAGTCGGATCTGATTCATAGTGACCCCATGTATAACGGAACGAAATACTGCCCAGTCCTATGCCAGCCTTGCAATCCCGGCTGTGCCTGAGCCCACAGCTACTGTGTCCATCCACCTTGTTGAGGGCCTCCTCTTTATGGCTGACCCTCCACCTTACCAAGCATGGGATCCTTCTCCAGAGAATGGTCCCTTCTGACAACATGACCAAAGTAGGTGCAGTGTAGTAAATTACTTAGTGTGGCTCTTCTACCCATAAGTCTTTGTAAATTCCAAGGTGGGATTTGCTATGAGCAATTGAGGAGCTCCTGATTGCTAAGGTTGTCTACCTGGAGTATTTCTGTTGGCAGTGGCACAAAACAATGTTCTGGGAGGTTCCCACTCTCTCAGGTGCTTAGAGTTCTGATGCTGTGATTGGCTAGTTTGGCTAGTTTGGCCACTCTGCCGGGCTCAAAAGGAGGCCTCCTAGAGGCAGAACTCTGACTGCTGGCTGAGGAAGATGTGCTGCTGAAAGAGACACGTGCTCCTGAGAGAGACACGTGCTGCTGGGAAAGAGACGCAAGAGACACACATTGCTGAGTAAGACGCCGAGGGACATGCACTGCTGGGGGAGAGACTGAGACTTGGCTGAGAGATGGTGGGCTGAGAGAGAAACTGAGCGTTTTTTTCTGAACTTGAATTGTAGCCTGGTGCTTCCCTAATAAACCCCATAATCTGTGAGCTCTGTGTGGCCACTACAGAGAATTATCGAACCCAGGAAAGAGGTGGTGGGTGCTCTGGGAGGAACGGTTGGAGAAAGGGCTGGAGGGAGGCAGCATGTCTGGCCTCGCAGGAACAGGCCTTGGGCTATTGATGGTGATTCTGTCTTCCTCTTGTGGGATCAGAGGTCAGAACATGTGGCCTCCTTGCCCTTTTCGCAGTAGGTGAGATGAAGTCTGGCCATTTTTGCTTCCAAGAAGCATTCCAGTTGCAGTTTTTTTTTTTACTTTTATAGTGGTGAAAACATACACAACAAGACTTCTGCCAACATAACAACTTCCTCATTTACAGCTCAGGGACACTGATGACATTTTTCATGTTGTGTCACCCTATCGCTACTCTTTTCCAACATATTCCACCACCATTAGCAAAAACTCAATGTCCCGTAACAAAAGCTTCCCCTCCAACCTTTGGTAACCACTAATAATCTTTGGTAGCATAGTGTCTCAGGCACTTGACTGCTAACCAGAAGGCTGGTGGTTCAAACTCACCAGCCACTCCTCGGAAGGAAGATGGGGCAATCTACTTCCGTAGTGATACTGCCTTGGAAACCCAAGCAGGGGTCACTATGAATAGGGTTCGACTCGACAGTACATAACAACAACAACAACAACAACAAATGTTTGGTTTCTACGTACACACATATTTATTTCCAACATATCTAGGAATTTAGCCTCCCCTCCCCTCCCATCCCTGGCAACCAACAAAGAAAGTTTCCTCCATGTATAAACTTTTCCTTGACTTTTTACAACAGTAGACTAAAACATTATTTGTCCTTCTGTGACTGACTTTCACTCAGCATAATTTCCTCTAAGTTCATCCATGCTATGCGAAGTTTTGAAGATTCTACATTATTCTTCAGGGTTGCATAGTATTCCATTGTGTTTATGCACCACCATATGCTTATCCATTCCTCGACTGATAGGCACTTAGGTTGTTTCCATCTCTTTGCTATTGTGAATAGTGCTGCAATGAACATGGATGTGCATATATCTGTTTGTGTCCTGTCTCTCACTTCTTTAGGATATATTCATAGAAGTGGGACTGCTGGGTCAAATGGCATTTCTATTTTCAACTTTTTAAGGAATTGCCATATTAATTTCCATAGTAGCTATATCATGTTACAGTCCCACCAGCAGTGTATGAAACTTCCAATCTCCCCACACCCTCACTGGCATTTGTTATTGTCTGTCTTGAACTTTGCCACTAGTGCTATGGTGAGATGGTATCTCGTGGTTGTTTTGATTTGCCTCTCTCTAATGGCTGATGATTGCAAACATTTCTTCACGCTTGCTGGCTCCAGCTGCACTTCTTCCTGGACAGATTTGCTAGTTCTTCTGGCAGTCCATGGGAGTTTCAGTATTCTTTGCCAAAAGCAAAACACACATGCAGACACACAGAATAGTGCCTACAGTATGAACAACAGCCACCAGGCATCTGTCCACCAGAATACATATGTGGACACACAGCAAACACTGAAGGGGACTCACACCGTGGACATGTTGTCTCCGACTGCAGGGAAAGGGACATTAAGTGTGACCATAAACCTGAACCAAGACCGACTGTATACCACCTAATTTGTTGGACCTAAAAAAAAAAAGGTACAACTGGAACAACAGACAAAACAACAGCATGTATGTCAGGGGTTAGCAGTAAGGTCTAAAGTGTCCTGAGGTCCTCCCATGTATGTGAGGGGTGGGAAGACAGATGCCTGACAGCGTGTGAGCTTGTAAGCTAGGTGTGTGTGCGAGAATCTGGGCGTGTATGCAAGAGGCCAGGCACACGTGTGAGAAGCCGGACACACGTGTGAGAGGCCAAGTGCAAGTACAAGAAGCTAGAACAACCACTAGAGCAAGTGGGGCACACGGTCCCCACAGCAGCGAGGTACAGAAGAACAGAAGCTGGAAGACAAGCACCAGTGACAGAAAGAAGGCAGCAAACAAAGAATAAACCAGGAATGAGGGAAGCATAAGATAAGACGACTAATATAAATCCAGTGTACAAGGAATCTCACACAAATCCACCACTCATCTGTCAGTTTGTCATACTATGAAGGCTTGCGTGTTGCTGGGAGGCTGGAGGTTATGCCACTAGTATTTCAGATACCAGCAGTGTCACCCGTGGTGGACAGGTTTCAGCAGAACTTCCAGCCTAGACAGACTGGAAAGAATACAGGGCCATCCACTTCTGAAAAAGTGGCCAGTGAAAGCCTTATGAATAGCAGTGAGACACTGTCTGACACTACTGGAAAACTGGATGAGCAGCCCTGAAACACTGTCCGATATAATGCCGGGAGACAAGCCCCTCAGGTCAGAAAGCACTCAACACACAACTGAGGAAGAGCCTCCTCAAACTAGAGTTGACCTTGCTACAGCCAACTACCTAGAGGGAGTGAGTAGTTGGACCTCTGGGCTCGGGACCATGGTCACAGGGGACATCAAGCTCAACTGGCATAACATACTACACAAAAGCATTGTTCTACATCCTACTTTGGTGAATAGCGACAGGGGTCTTAAGAGCTTGCAAGTGGCCATCTAGATGCAACGATGGGTCTCTCTTCATCCACAGCAAAAGACGAATGAAGAAAACCAAAGACACATGGAGACAATTAGTCCAAGGGACTGGTAGACCATGCAATCCTTAGCCAGTATGACCAAGAGACCAGAAGAACTAGATGGTGCCCAGCTGTTAACCACTGTCAACCACTCAGAGGAGGATTGGTGCAAGAGATCTTTGATAG